TAAATTCTTTAAATAAATAAATCTCACTTTTTTTATTTCACTTTGCTCCGTCCAACCCAAAGAAGTTTGGGTGATGCAATTAGTATTTGCTTTTCTATGGCCAAATTATGATTCAGAGATAATGACATAAGGTACTAATAGAAGGTACCTGCTGAGTTAGGAGTCTAAGCGTAGTAATAACTAAACATTAACAGGACTTCCAAAAAAGGTCAGTTTCACAATTTTCTCCTTCACAAACAGATAAGGATTTGACAGGCTAATGTATCACATAGAGCTGTTACATTAATATTTACCTTTTACTCTTACCTCTGCCTTTTCCTCGGTGTCACTCTTTTTTAGGAACCAGGCTTGCTGGCAAGTAGAGGCTTCCTCCATTTAACACTGTTTACTAACGCACTTGTGATCATAGTAACAGACTGTGGCCCTGTTCTTATGTTTTTTTAATGTACATCTGGGCCTGAGTGTCAGCTTGCCTATAAAGTTTTTCAGTCTGTGTGGGAGCCACGTATTCTCTCTGTAAATAAGGATTTGGAGCACCTTCTGCTTCCTGCTTATTTAAAGGTTAAATTCTCATATGCAGAATGTTTCCTAGCAATTTAAAAATGAATATTTTTAAGCTGTCTTCCCACCGTTCCTGGGTAAAGTAGCATGCTTTTTGGGTTTAAATCATGCTATATTTTAGATTGCGCTATTGCTATCATCATTCCTAAGTAGTGATATTTTTGTGGGATGGAAAAATGCAGTTTTGTCTTTGCTTTGTTTTGTATGTGCAGTGTAAGGCCAAAATCTAGCTGGTAAAACCTTGTGTACAGGGAAAATGTCTCAGCAGTTTTCCTGCTCTCGCCAGCTGTCCTTCACGTGATAGTGATTTCTCAACCTGATCTCTCTCAACCAGGCATGAAGGGAGAGCCTTCTGAAAGAGAGAAAATTGTCTTTTGGCAATCACCTAAGCAAACAGGATTCTCACCTAAAAGGCAAAACTAAAATGGGCAAACAAACCAGAGCGGAGAGGAAAACCAGTGTTGCGTCAGAGGATATCTCCCTCCATGCATGTTGCAGAAGCAAAAACAGAGGGAGGGAGAACAGGTGTTGTAAATGTAACTTTTTAAAAACTTTGAAACCAAGTGTCCATGTTGGTTGAGGGGAACTGGGAGTTGTAGTTCAAATAATTACTTTTATGGCCTCTGGCCCAGAATGTACCCACCTATAAACCTGGATTATCTCAACATCTCTGTTTGGTCATGCAAAGACATAGCATTTGAGTTCTGAATAAAAACTTCAGATTTTGTATCAAATTGCCTGTATACAAAGTCTAGCCCCTACATAAACCTATTGAGGGATTGCAAACAGGCAGATGTATTGGATCTTTACACAGGGAAGATGTGCAGTTAGCCAACATGCAATATTTGGACTAAGCTGAGAATAGATTGTAATAAGTCATGGGACGTGGTAGCACTGTGGGGGACGTGGTGGCGCTGTGGGGGACGTGGTGGTGCTGTGGGCTAAACCGCAGAAGCCTGTGCTGCAAGGTCAGAAGACCAAGCAGTCATAAGATCGAATCCACATGGCGGAGTGAGCGCCCGTCACTTGTCCCAGTTCCCACCAACCTAGCGGTTCGAAAGCATGCAAAATGCAAGTAGATAAATAGGGACCACCTTGGTGGGAAGGTAACAGTGTTCCATGTCTAAGTCGCACTGGCCATGTGACCACGGAAGATTGTCTTTGGACAAAACGCTGGCTCTATGGCTTGGAAAAGGGGATGAGCACCGCCCCCTAGAGTTGAACACAACTGGACAAAAAATTGTCAAAGGGAACCTTTACCTTTACCTAAGTCATATTACACCACCTCAACAAGAACACAGAAATTAGAATTAGCTGACATTTTGTGGAATTCTACAAATTATCTGCTGTTGTTTGTGGCATGATCCACCATTTTCTCCTGTAAAAGTCCTGCTCTGATGAATGAACAAAGCCCATTACAATATTCATGTTTTTTCAAATTAATTTATGAGTAGAAACATCATGGAGAAGAAGCATGTGTGCAGTTGTTTGGGGCATGATGCACCATTTTCTTCTCCTGTAAAAGTCCTGCTCTGATGAATGAACAAAGCCCATTACAATATTCATGTTTTTTCAAATTAATTTATGACTAGAAACATCATGGAGAAGAAGCATGTCAGGACAGTGATAGTAGGATGCTCAAGGTGAATAACAATAGGTTAAGGAAAGCCAGTGCAACCTGTGATCTACCTAGTTCGTTGTACTGTAGGCCACCAGTACCTGTGGTTTGTCAAATGTTTGGCTGTCTTTCTGATTATATTTGTAGTCACAGGCTCAATGAAAACAGGTTTATTGAGCTTCTAGTGGGTTGCTCTGCGTGTGTTCTGGCAGATCAGAAATTGTAAAGTCCTGCCTTAAGGCGTGCTTACCCAGTGGATACTCTGAGGAACAGGCTATGATCTTGCTAAATAGAAATGGTGGAGAAGACATACCACCAGAGCCATAACTAGCTGTTTAGACACCCAGGGCTTCATTGCCCTATTGGTTAACCTTAGGTCATGTAAGATTGGCATGTGCAAGAAAAGGACAAAAGAACTGGGAAGAACACCAGAGCTGAGTTGGTGACAGTTCTACTCCGAAGTCACCTGTTTAATGTGTCTTTTTGCCTGAAGAAGAACAGCTATAGGTGGTATATGTGCTCAAGAATCTGAGGTCTGTATATTTCCAGATTAATCGCCAATGGGTGGGTTCACATCCTTCCACCAGCAAATTTTTATGTCCTCCGAAACTTGGTGCCTTATGTCAAAGCTGAGTAGCTGCACTCTAATTACAGCTCTGCATATTAGTCACCAAACTCTTGAGTGGTCAGAGAATTTAAGGAAAGAAGAAGTAAAAAACATTCTACCTCTGGGCTCTAAACAAAGCATTCCTGCATCTCAAGAGATTTGCCTTCCACCAATCAGTCCTGGGGCCAGTTTACACAATGATTATATTTTACTATAGGAGCATTTCCCTGCCGATGTGCACAAGTGCCTTTCATACAGTTATTTATTTATTTGTTTGTTTGTCCTGCTTTCTCCTTGAAAAGGACTCAAGGCGGGTTACAACAATGAAAGACAGTATTTAAGATGAAAACAATGAGTATACATATATGGTTAACATCAATAAAATACAATGTTTAAAAACGACGAACAATGAGTAAGGAGACATCTTACCTCACTAATAGGCAATATTAAGGCAAAGATCAATAAGTATACAAAAAACTAAGTCATTCTGAGAAATGGAAAACACCGAACAATGAGTAAGGAGACTTCTTAGCTCACTAATAGGCAATATTAAGACAAAGATCAACAAGTATACAAAAAAACAAGTCATCCTGAGAAATGGAAAACACAAAAATGGAAAACACAAGTAAAAATCCAGTCAAAGCAGTAATGTACAATGATCAATGCACCCTCTAATTTTAAGCCCCGTTGGGGGGGGGGCGCCACCTCTCTCCTGCGCAGCTTCACCCCTGTGCATGTGTGACTCTGCCCTCCCCCTGCACTGGTTTCCATCATGACCAGAACCTAACATGGTCACTGCAGGGGGGGGGCACCTCTCTCCTGCGCAGCTTCACCCCTGTGCATGCGTGACTCTGCCCTCCCCCTACACTGGTTTCCGTCATGACCAGAACCTAACATGATCACTGCACAGAGGAGGAAGACAGCTGCTGGTTTCCATCATGACCAGAACCTAACATGGTCACTGCACAGAGGAGGAAGACAGCTGTGCGGAGGGAAGTAGAGTCGTGTGTGCGCATGCCCAGCTAGAACCTTGACAACAATCCATCTAAAAATCACACACAGGGTCGTGTGTGTGCATGCCCAGCTAGAACCTTGATAACAATCCATCTAAAAATCACACACAGGTAGCTGGTTACTGAGGGAAGGCTTGCCTGAAGGGAAAGGTCTTTGCCTGCTTGCAGAAGGATAGCAATGATGAGGGTAGTCTGGCCTCCTGTGGGAGAAAGTTCCCAAGTCTGGGAGCAGCAACAAAGAAAGCTCGCTCCTGTGTCCTCATCAGATGCACCTGTGAAGGTGGCAGGCCCGAGAGAAAGGCCTCTCCTGATGATCTTAACACCAGAGCCAGCTTATAGGCTCAAGAAGATGAATCCAGGAGCACCACAAACTGCGTACCTGTTCTTTCAATGGGATTGTAATCCCATCCAATACCAGCTGTATCCCTGGCTTATAGGCTCAGAGATGAATCCAGGAGCACCCCAAACTGCGTACCTGTTCTTTCAATGGGATTGTAATCCTATCCAATACCAGCTGTATCCCTATTCCTTGAACTGCCTTTCGACTGACCAGGAGCACCTCTGTTTTGTCTGGATTAAGTTTCAATTTATTCACCCTCATCCAGTCCATGACTGATGCCAAACACTGATCTAGAGCCAAAGTAACTTCCTCAGATTTAGGTGGCAAGGAGAGGTATAGTTGGGTGTCATCCACATACTGGTGACACCAAACCCCAAAACTCCGGATGATCTCTCCCTATGGCACTAGCCAGAATTCTACAGGTGTTTGTGTAAAGTATGCATAACTTACCCTGGCTAATTGCAGCTAATTGACCAGGTTCCAGGACACATCTTAGCTGCATACTTAGTCATGTGGACTCAGATGCACCCTGAAACCTTGTGAGTTTGCTGCAGCAAGTTAGACAAATCATACACAAACATCAGTAGGATTCTGGCCATTATTTCCAATGAAAATGCTCAGTGAAGCAGCAACATCTGAAAAAGAAACATGAAATTACACTCTGGTGTCTGTTTGCAAGTCATGGAGACACAGGAGTACAGTACTTCTGAATTCTCTTCCTATTGCAACACTTCATAAAAATAACATGATTGTTGAGTTTCGTCCCTCATATCATAATGATATGTTCTACAGAAATGGGGAAGCTATAAGAGCATGGGATAAAAAGTTAAATTGCTGCGTCTGTCTTCTATTCCCTTACAGATTTTTATAAACAATGAATGGCACAATTCAGCAAGTGGCAAAAAATTCCCTGTCATTAACCCGGCAACTGGAGAGAAAATCTGTGATGTGGAAGAAGGAGACAAGGTTTGTCATTAAACTGTTGTTATACTATGGACTTCCTTTTGGGTTCCAAATCTCCCCTTCATCTGAGGCCACTATCTAATGGAAAAGAGGAGTGCTTCTAGAGCTGCCATTTTATTTTATTTTATTCTCACCATTATACCATTAGGAGGACACCGAATGGCTTACAAACACCAGGCAGTCTTGTGTGTGGATGCAGCCTAGACCAAATTATATAGGGCTTTATTGGTCATATCTCACACTTTAAACTGTGCTCACAAGCATACTAATAGCTGTCAAAGTTATTATAACAAAAGAATTATGTTCTTTCTGTACCAAATTAAATTTTACTTTATAAATCAAAAGCTCCTGTGTTGCTGTCCCATCTGTTCTTCATTAATTTATGGGTAAGTGGGTGTATGTGTTGAGAAAGAAAGTGGAATCAGTAGTAGGGAAATAGGGCGAGACAATGAGAGCTCCATCAAATTCTGTGAATGTTACAGAAAAAAGTAATCAACATGTAGAAGCACTCAGTATTTGGGACAAAACAGGGCAATGGTCTAAGTTTCATAGAATCATAGAATAGAATCATAAAATAATTGATTTGGAAAGGACCTGTAAGGGCATCAAGTCCAATCCCCTACTCATTGCAGGACTCCAAATCAAAACACAGAATTATTCATGGGAAAGCATCTTCGAGCAGCTCCTGAGGAAGACATCCTCATTTGCCACAGTCCCAGGAACACGATCAACCAGGACCATGTTAAGACATGATGGGGCCTTATAACGTTTGTTGCCTATACATCCAAGAGTTCCATAAAGACCAACATTTATGAATATGATCTGTATTGGTAAAATCTAGCAAATACCTTAAAATCACAGCTATGAAGCCTCAAGACAGAAACTAATTTTACTTTCATATTTGATCAACAGGAAATTATCTTGAAAGAATAAATCCACAGATTCCAAGCAATGTTAAATTTAAGAGGCCCCACAGCATCATTCCTAGGTATGCTGCAATAACAGAGACGACAATGAAAATAAAAATGTTATAACCAGTTCTGTAATACTTCAGATTCACTGTACTTTGGAGGCGGTAGTGGCAGGGCTTGGTTTGGTAGGTAGGCTCCTCAAACTTTGAGGCTTTATACTATAGTTTGCAAAGTGTACCCATGTATCTGGCACCAGGCCTGATCTGTCCCTAGGATGGGCTCCCAGCTAACTGGAAAGACTGGTTTTGGTTCCAATCAACATGAAGGAAATGAGAGAAAGTTCTGAGAGTGAAAGAGACTGATGAAATATTTTTAAAACAATGGAACCTTTTAGTGCATTTTTTTCTCAATTTGCCATAAATCAGAATTGATTTGGTGACACACGATTATTATTACTTGAAAAATACCTTTCAAAACTGCTGCTGAAAATTTACAGAAGGGATAATACACTGCCTTGATTAGCTAAGCCGTATTCAGGTATTATCAGCCATATCAAGACAGCATGAATAGAAAGGAGCACTCCAGCTTCCCTTCCTCTGTTTCAGGTACTGTCACTCTCCTACATGTAGAGAGGAATAAGCAGAAACTCTGTCATCTGTAGAAGGAAAGCTCTGTTATCTGTGGAGGCTCTCCACGTTATTGAGGACCAGAAAATCAGGAGAGCCCCCTCAATACATAACAGAGGCTCTTCTCTTTAAATTCATTGCTCTTCACATGTAGAAGAGTGATAATACCCAATACAAAAGGGGGCCAAGGCCAGAACCCTCTATCTGTGGTGCCTTGAAATGGGTAGGTAATGCAAGAATAGGGTCCTAATCTTTCTAATCTCCATCCAAACTGTTGGGTTCTGTGTAGTTGCACAGCAAAAGGTGGGGCAGCTTAGTTCCCCAAGAATTTCTCTAATTATTTAAGCAGACTGGCAAAAACAGTCAGTGAGACAATAGTAAAAAGAAAAAGAAACATTATTTACTTACAAAATTATATGGTTAAAATTTTACATGAAGACATGGGATCATTAGTGGTAAAAAGAAGAATCATTTAGTCAGTTAAAATGGTGGAAAATAGTTTCTCTCCTCTCAGACTCATGGCTGAAAAAAAAAGAGCTCAAGATAACATTTGCCTCACAAGATGGAGGGTAAGCAACAAGTACTAACTGGGGAAAAAAATCTACCTCAGAGTGAAGAAGGTTAAGCAGCTAATTGCAGAAAGGAAAGAAAGCAGTCAATTGGTTGCTCAAAAATCAGTGAACAAACAAGCTACTCTTCCTAGAGATACCCTGTTTCCCCAAAAATAAGACCTAACCTGAAAATAAGCCCTAGTATGATTTTTCAGGATGCTCATAATGTAAGCCCTACCCTAAAAATAAGCCCCAGTTAAGTGAAACCCTGCCATCCACCACTGTGCAGCAACCAGAAGAAGATGACATGACTATACAGTATTTGAATAAATGTAGATGGTTGTACATGAAAAGAAAATAAACATCCCCTTAAAATTAGCCCTGGTGCATTTTTTGGAGCAATGATTAATTTAAGACCCCATCCCCTTAAAATTAGCCGTGATGCATTTTTTTGGAGCAATGATTAATTTAAGACCCTGTCTTATTTTTGGGAAAACACTGTATGTACTCTTCTACAGGGGATCATGTGACCAACTGTGTTGCTAATTAGTTCATGCATAGCATGCTAGGTTACTCGCCAAGTCCAGCACACTCCTCTTTATCTGTGGTGATTTGGAATGGATAGGTTATGCAAGAATAGGATCATAGTCTCCCTAATTTCCCTTCAAACTACCCCATCACCAGACCACTTTTTAAAAAGAAGACAAGCGATACATAAGCATTCTTTTCCTTTTAACAACCTCCTGTTTTTAAATAAAAGAACACTGCTCTGGTGTTCCATTGATTAGTTTTGAATAATATAAGTAATAATTTAGGATTCTGTAGCCCAACGTAGACTAAACTGAAGCTGAAACTCAACAAGATGAAAGCTCTGTGGCTTGGTGGTTCCCATGTTCAGTTCCCACATCTGTGAGTTAGGTAGGCAACCTGTTCTGAATGGGGTTGCACTCCCTCTGAAGAGTAGGCAAACATCCCAGGAGTACTTCTTGAGCCATCTTTCACACTCGTGAGCTCAGGCTTAGGTGAGCGTATGGCTTGGAAGCTATGTTTAACTGGTCACCAGCTACAACCATTCTTAGACAATCTGGTTATAGCAGCTATAGTAGTTCACACGTACAACCATTATTAGACATTCTGGTTATAGCAGCTATAGTAGTTCACACACTGGTAATCTTGCAGTGATGCACTTTACATAAAGCTGTCCTTGAAGATGACACAGATGCTGCAGGGAATGCAATATGCAGCAGCTAAACTGCTGGCAAAAATACCTTTCAGAGCCCATATCAAGAATTCTGAATGAATTGCACTGACTACCAATATGCTTTTAGTCGAATTTCCGGGTGTTGATTATAACCTATAAAGTCCTAACTGGCTTGGAACCTGGATAATTGGGGAAACATTTATCCCTATATACACTTGCTCAGTTCCTCTGATCTGTTGATGGGAGTTTCCTCCATGTCCCACCATGGAGAACAATCTACTATGTGGAGTTCCAGGGAGGGCTTTTTTTGGCTCTAGCACCTCATTTATGGAATGCCTTCCCATAGAGACTCAACTGGCACTGACACTAATTCATTTTGGCCTCAAGTTTTTACATGTTTATTCACCAAGGTCTTTGAGGATTAGGATAACGGCTTTAATAGGCTGTGGAGGCTTCTCTATTGTTGATGGTCTTGACGTATTATGTACTTTTTGACATTTTAATTGGTTTTAAAACACTGAACAGTTTAATATTGTTTTTATTGTTGTACTCCACCCTGAGATCTTAGGATATGGGACAGGATATTAATATCTAAAGACTAGGTGGATGGCTCATTGAATTGGGTGTTTAATTCCACACTGTACGTCTAAGGAAAATAGCCAGCCTGTGTAGCCTTGGGCAAGCTGCACAGCCCTTGGGCACCCACAGAAAAAGGGAATGGTAAACTACTTCTGAGTATACCTAGAAAAGGCTGGAAATGGTTGATATAAGTCAGAATTAACTTGACTGTATGCAATTATTTAATGTCTTAAATAAATCATAAGCTCCATTAAATCACTGGAATTTTGACAAGCCAACACTTATGTAATCTTACTGATTCAGTGGGTCTACTCTGTTTGGAATAAACTAATGGGTTTTGCCCCTCTAGTTTTTAAGTACTCTCATTGTTTGTCTGAATATGAGAGATAATGGTATCCATACTTAGATTTGCTTTCTGTATAGCCCCCCCCACCTCAAACCTATGTGGATTGACAATTGCTGCTAACTGAACAGCGTGGCAAAATGCCCCAATCCAGTAAACTATACAACTAATTGTGAATTTCAGAACCTAGCATTTAGCTAATGAGCCATGAGATTTTATGACTTTAGCCTCTCTCTGTAAAGGACCTAACAAGCAAAGTACATTGCTTTCTCTCTATGCAACCATTTTTTTTTTCAGAAAATCAAGAGGAGATTACAAATCACAGACATCCATGGATGTGAGAAATAAAGTTAGATCACTTGTTCAGGGGAACATTTACTAAGCCTAGAAAACCTAAAGCATAATTAAATTTTGAAATAGTAAAGGGACAAGTAAAATAAAGCACGTTTACAGCACTATCCTATATACAGTACTATATTTCAATTAAAAATGAATTTGAGCCTTAGGCTTTAATCCTATACACACTTATCTGGGAGTAACTCCCACTAAACACATTTGGATGTATTGCTGAATAGACTTTCATAGCGCTGTTTTGTTAATGCAAGTTTCTTTAAAATTTCAGTTAGCCTGATCTGGAGAACTATAATCTGCTTCTGTCTCTTTGTACTGATATCTTATTTAATTGTACGTTATGGTGCATTGTGGTGCCTAAGGAGCATTCTCTTCTTTTGCTGACTAGAGTTAATTTTAGTTTTCAAGTATTACAGTCTTTAGTAATAGAGGCAATCAAATGTGTAGACAAATTGTATTTATTCTCCAATGAGGCCAAAGACTATGTCCCTATCAATTTTCAGTGGGAATGTCTTTCTCATAGAAGTAAATTAGATTTGTGCATGAGCATTGAGTAACAATTGGTAGCAATTATGTTCTGCCCATGCTTTCTGGAGGAAGAAGAGAGGATGTCCTGACTTTGTAAGCTAGAAAGGGGTGAAGGAATCTTGGCCTTGTAGATGTTTTGTACCTCGCCTCTCAAAAATCTTAGGCAATCCCATAGTAAGGGATTGTCAGGGCTCAGAAGCAACTAGTTATAAATAACCAATTAGTTGTAATAAATTCTCACCCCTTGGCAAAATAAGGTGTACCTGCATTGCATTGCATTACACTTGCAACCTAATCAGGGATCATTTAACCCTTTCTGTAGTATAACTGTAACATTCAGTTGCTTGTATTGCTATGGAGGTGTAATTACACAACAGCTTAGAAATCTTACTTTTTTTACTACAGGTCAAAGAATCTGCCAGCCAGCATGGCCCATGCTAGCTTGTGGATTCTGCGAACTCTGGTCCCTAAAAAGCAGCTTTTCCAATTCTGTTGAAGCCTTATTAATTGGAGGAGGCAGTGGTATATCACATGATTAGTTCAAATTCATGTGCCTGAATTGAATGAGAAGTACAGTACTGTACTTACTTTAGTTACTTTTGAGAAAAAAGGAAGTGTCGCTTTTTGAAACTGAGATAGCAACTAACTCGTAAAAAGTAATTAGCTTTGGGGACCTTGGAACTATAAGAGTAACCAATTGGTTTTCAAAAGGTACATTCTCAGCTCTGAGGGTTGTGGAAGTTATAGCCAGAAACACTTGCAGACCCACGTGTGAGTAAGAAAATTGACATGTCTGGGGTTGTGCTGGTTGCGTCCTGTATGGAGCTGAGGATCCCCTTTTCACATTTCATTAGCAGGCATGACCTAAAAATTTCGGAGAACCACTTTTTTGGTTGAGTCAAAATGGTATCAGTTATCATACACTTATTATATTTAAATGGCTTTTCTTTATAGGATGACGTCGACAAAGCAGTTAAAGCAGCAAGGAAAGCTTTTGAGATTGGCTCCCCTTGGCGAACAATGGATGCTTCACAAAGAGGAAGACTGTTGTACAAACTGGCTGATTTAGTTGAAAGGGACCGTCTCCCTTTAGCTGTAAGTCTAAGGGCCAAACTGTATGTTACAGATAACACATAATACGTGCAGAAATCATCTTAGTATTTCGGAGATGAGATATAGACAGACCTTTATATCTGAGAAATCTGACTTGCAAAACAAACCTGTGTTTAGCTTCTGAATATCAACTACATAATAAATCAAGCTAATTTGCAAGCTTTGTGAGATGAGAAATGTTTGTATTCTAACAATCAGATGCTTTCAGCAGTTAAAGAATTCCCTCTTATAATTATGATTATGAGCTATATGCTCATAATTGGTACACTAAACACAGCCAGCAATTCTCAACATTTTTTTTTTCAGTCAAAGCCTTTTCAGGAGCAATTCTCAAGTTCCAGGACCCCCTGTCAAACAAGGAAAGCCTTTGGCTATGTGCCAACAAAGATACAACACAAACATAAATCTGTGGCTCCATTCAAATGTGCCAGTCCCCCCCTCCCAATTGAGAATGGCTGTTAGGCAATTACCATCTTTAGAAACCAGCTTATCTGAAGACATTGGGATATTTGAATGGTTGTCACATAAAACAGACTGAGTGCTTAAGAGGAGTACAGAGAAGCAAATATTCATTTGCAGAACTTTGAAAACTTTATTTTCTGAGCTACAGTTTTCAGAGTCTCCGAGCTAGTGTCCATGTTCCTTAGGAGAGGGGATTCTGTAAGCTTTAGTTCTCTTACAGCAAAAGAGCTCAGCCAATCAGAACTCCCAGTTATGTTTACTATCATGCACAGTTCCATTCTTAGAAGAAATTACTCTTTTTCATCACCTTGATATTGGTTTAGAATATATCAATGTTTCTCTTGTCAATATTGAAAAGTCATTAGTGTCGTATTAAGGTCATGTGTCTTTGTACTGTTGCGGTTTAAGAAATATAACAACCTGAGGAGGCTAGGATAGCTACTGTTCCACCATTAAAAAAGAAGACATGGAGGACAAGGATCACCAAAAAAGAAAGGCATGCTTGCATTGAATGCCCTACTTGAAGCTATTATATGAATATATCACCATAACTAGATAATTAATAGTTAATATAAATGATTTAGTGTAATTTAAGTAAAAATAACAAGCAGCTAACTGTAATGTAGAACAGTGGTTCTTAACCTTGGGTTACTCAGGTGTTTTTGAACTACAGCTCCCAGAAACCCCAGCCAGCACAGCTGGTGGTGAAGGCTTCTGGGAGTTGCAGTCCAAAAACACCTGAGTAACCTAAGGTTAAGAACCACTAATGTAAAAGACTGTGACCAGATGATCGATCGTCTTGGGTCCCAGTGTTAGGGGAAATGAAGGACAGATATAAAATATATCTGTATATTATTATAGTGCTATTACTATTATTAAGTATAGCGCTTAATAACTCTCTGGAATACTCCTATACCAGTGACGGCAAACCTTTTTGGGCCCAAGTGCCCAAACTGGAAAAAAACAAACAAACAAACAAAACAACAAGAACAAGAACAACAAACCCAGCAGGCATCAAGCTGCAGTGGCAGAGCCGGAAGTGACGGCGGAAGGGGGAATCCTGGGCACGGAGGTGCCTTGAGACCCCACTCCGGATCCTGGTCCACTGCCTGTCTAAAAAGAAAACAACAACCTTGTGTGTCACTACTACACTGCCTGCACCAGACTGGGCTGGGTCAGGGACTCAAACACAGCCCAGCTCTTCTTAGTGCCTGTCAGGTAGCTGCTCTGACCCAGGAGGAGGCCACCAGTTAAAAGACCCAGAATCTCCCATCAGGACTAAGCTGGGCTGAGCAAACCTGGCTGACCTTGTTTCTAGACCCATCATGCCAAATGCTTCCAAACTGACACCTCTTTGATATAACCGAAATTTAATGCTCCAGAATTTATTTATTTATTTATTTTAAATAGCCAAATACAGTATAAGAAAATATAGTGTCCATTCTCAGGTGGATGGCAATGCTCAGGAGAGTCAAGAGTCATAAAAACATACGGATTTTGTTTCCTTTCTTTAGAGGCCTGCCAGGTTTAGGCCTTGTCAACAAGGGATGCCTGCAGGATATATAAAAGCTGAACTTTGTCTTGATTAATATCTGGTAATAAAAAGGGGGTGGTGGTTAAATCCTGTTAGGATTATTAGTAATGTAATAGTAGAATATTGTCAAAAGGCACACATTTATACATAAAATTGATGTGGTTTGTATACTGTAAGAAATTTTGACTATGTTTGGATTCAAATGGTAATTATGAATTTCTAACTGTATAACCTGAAATGTTTATAATGAATATAATATAACATTAGAAATTGTTGATTGTAAGGCACTTATTTAGAGAAACAAAATATATATGAATTGTAGCATGACTAAGTAAATAAGGTGAGATATATATAAGTAGTAGGAAGATCTTCCTACTACTTACAGTAGTATATACATCTGTCTTTCAAAATGCTGATAATATTTGAAATATTTATATGAAATACATATATGCATAGATGTATATTAGAGTGAACACAATATTGGAGATTATTCAATTATAAGGCACTTACACAGAGATATTAAGCATATATGAATTATAATATGACTATGTAGTTAAGAGTAGATAAATATATCTTTTGGCTTTTTGGAATGCTGATTTCTCATGATGGTAAAGCATTGATATTTTGAGATATAATTGTTTAGTTAAGGATGCAAGAGAAAGAATCTATTTAAAAAATCACTAACTATAATTATTATAACTTTAGGGTGGTTTATATTGAACTAAATTTTTAAGAGCGATAAGGTTGATGCAGTCAGATTTATAAAATGGATAATATTGTATGAAAATGATTTCCCCCCTGCCTATATGTTTTTGCTTGTTTTGTGTGTTTTTTGCTGGTTTTGTATGTCTATATGTGTCATAAAATAAAATATAAAAAAATAGTAGAATATTGTGAATAACAATAACAATTACTCTGGAGACTAATGGTAAGATAAAACAGATAACTTACTGTTCATTATCTAGGAAATTATTTTATGATTAATGCAAGAGAAAAGGGATACCTAAATGGTGGTTGCAGAAGCCTTTAGAGATGGCTCCTATGTATGGAAATATCTCTGTACCAAATTAAATAAAGGAGCAGGAAGTGATGGTGACCTCAAATGGGAAGAAAAAATGTCCCTGTCTTTTCCAGGGAGCCCTCCATTTCACCTGGAAATCTGTTCTGCTTAGTTTCTCTGAGCAAATGTGGAAAGTGTGAGGGACCTTTACCTCTCTATTCTGCCGATGGAAGCCGTTTCATCAGTGAATTGACACTACTGGGTCCTATCTATAATATTTAATTCCAAGTCTTTAATCTTATTTTCAATCACTAGCAATAATTTCTGGAATGTTTTTTAGCCTAAATATGAATTGAAAAATAATGGGCTATGAAAGATAACAGATTATAATCTCTAAAACAAGTGGAACATTGCAGAAATAGAATGAACTCATTAGTTGATATCAGATAATGTGGGCGTATTTGCTTTGGATGAAAGAATAGCAATGCATATGGAAAATGACCTGGAAGGTTTAATTGTTCTTTTCCAGTCCTTGCTTAGCCAACAGAAACAAATCTACAATTGGTCTAGAATATTTATGTTTCCACAGAGAAAGTCCATACTATTCAAGATTATTCCTGGGAGATAACAAATGTCATGTTTGCTACAATTTACGTACAAGGACATCTGATTACAATCCATAAAGTAGCCATTAATAGAACAGCCTCTTAGACCACCAATGACAGCCCACATTATCATACCAAAATGATAACCAGTTGCTTTCTTATGGATTTCTATACTTGAAAGTAGGAGTATTCTGTTACAGCAGCAGGCCTTCAATAAACTGAGGCAACCACCTAGGCTATCATGAAATGACATCAAACTATTGGCTATTTAGTTTGTTATTTAATTGTCCAGGATGGAAGAAGCATTTATGGGATTTTCTATGTCATATATCGTGGAGTATGATACATCATGACATGGAAGTGCATACTTAGTGTGATGCACTTGTGGTGGTAGACAAGTATATTCTTTCATTTATAATGGCTATTTTCTTCACCATTTCTGTTCAAGACAATGGAGAGCATCAATGGAGGAAAACTTTTTTCCAATGCCTACCTGATGGATTTAGGTGGTTGTATCAACACTTTGCGGTACTGTGCAGGCTGGGCTGACAAAATTCAAGGACGTACCATTCCCATTGGTGAGTCATTCTGATAAAATGTTTACAAATCAGTGCTAGTTTTGGTAATAATGGAATTTTAAGATGGAATTCAAGTCATGTTCTTGTGGTATGGGGAAGAATGTAACCCTTAGAAATCTACTACCTACTAAAATATATGAGGTGGTAAACATTTATCAGCCAGTTTAAAAGGAAAAATACCTTTGGCACATTTTGTATCTCTCATTTTTTTAGCTCTGTAATACTAAGTGAAGTACCTAAAGCTTGATGAATTGGCGGAGTCCCAATGTAAATAGGTTTTTAAATCAGGTTATTATAGCTAAGTGTCAGCAGGCCTTATACCTCACCCTTCTTCCCCATTCCTTGCTTAGGAGTATTCTGGAGGGATCTAGTTCTAACATTAAGATGTGCCAAGTGTTGTTACTTCAGTGCATCTATGTTCCACTTAAAGTAATGCTTTCACCTGCCTGTTCTACAAGGAAAGGGAGGCCCACCTACATTCTACACATTTAGCCACACGAAGCCACAGCCTTGAGTTTGCAAAAGCTGAGCAGGGCTATTAACGTTGGGACCTTTTGGAGGTCACTAATTCATAGGGATGCCATAAGTTGGAAGAGAGTTGTTGACACATTACAACAAAAGTAATGTATCTTCTTTCATGAACTACCGTATTTTTCGCACCATAAGACGCACTTTTTCCCACAAAACAGGGGGGTGGAAAGTCTGTGCGTCTTATGGAGCATTATATTTTCCTGTTTTCTTCTCCTAAAAATTGGTGCGTCTTATGGAAAGGTGCGTCTTATGGAGCGAAAAATACGGTATAGTAACATATATGCTCTATGTTCTTTAAAATTCTTGAACCCAGCCCCAGTAGGAATAAAGGACAATCTCTGTTAGCATGGATATTTCCAAAGATGGTAATTGCTAGTCTTAAAAATCCTGTTCAGCCAAACCTAGTATTGGGAATCCATGCTTTAATATTTTATACCAGCTCTTGTTATTTATATAGCACTTTCTATAGGCAGCTATTCTCCCAAATGTGGAGATGACGCTTTCCCCTCACATCAGTCCATGAGCTGCCACATGGTGCCATCAATAATCCAAAGGGTGTTTTATAGAGCAAGGAACAAATTGGGAGAGAGAGGTCCACTTCATAAGAAGAGTATTTGATGGGAACTGAAGGGGATTTCAACAAAGTGAGTTTTCCAGAGCTTTTCAGCCTTCATTTTGAAGAGCAGCTCACCATTAAAAATAGCTTGCAGCCACTTAGATTTATTTGCTTAGTTACCTTTCTGGTCCTGTGGTCTTTCTCCTTCTCTTCTCATCAGTCCCTTTTCCCTTGTATCTGAATTGCCCATGCTGCCTGTGGCTTCTTAAACAAAGCAAAATAAAACAAAAACTTGGTGTAAGTTAGAAGAAAAAGAGACAGACTCTGTGGCCAGATACTGTGGTAAGTTCCAGTGGCAAGCTTGTTCATCTTCTGCATTTATGTTTAAAATACAGGAAACCCTAGTTAGTCATATACATCTTCTGAGTTGTTTGCTTTGTCAATATTGAATCTAGGTATATTTGCTTTCTCCTTTGACTGTATTGTTATTATTATAACAGGATGCACCAATGTGAATAACAAGGCACTTTTTTCTTCTGTCCTTACTGTTTCTTACCAATGTCTTCTTTTTATCTCATCTAGATGGAAACTATTTCACATACACAAGGCATGAGCCTATTGGGGTTTGTGGTCAAATTATTCCTGTAAGTTAGCATTCTTTCCATAATGTTCAATATGAATAGAGTCTTGAAAAGTTGGCTGGGAGATTCCTGGGGATTGTAATCCAAAGAGTAAATTTCCCAAACTTTGAAAATGCATTGCACCCAATATTGCCCTCCTGCAAATGGAAGGAGACCTTTTGTTCCTAGACAGGTGTTGATTTAGTGGAGGCTTCTGCTAACAGATTCTCACCAGTTTCCTCCTCTTGGATGCCTTCCTCCAAACATTACTTCTCTTTTATATTACCAAAGAACTCAATTAGGGCAAAGGTGAGGGAATTGAAAAAAAATTGTTCAGATGAAACTCTATATGTTTTACTGAGCTAATATTGCATTCAGCATTATTTATGGGCATTTGGTGTCAAGGCTGGACAGATCAGTCTAGTTTCACATGTTCATTTGTTTGGGCATGCAGATTGGAGTATTTTGTATCTAATTAAGTGAATAAAGTTTAGTTCGAATCTTTGACCTGCTGAAAAGGACACACTTATATAGTGATATTGCTATGCATGTTCAAAATGTTTTGAAGTCAGCATTGCAAAAAAATAAAAATAAAAAATTGGCTTGAATTCCTTTCAATAGCTAGTTACTTCAAAAAACAAGAAAGTTGGCTCGAATTCCGTTCAATAGCTAGTTACTTCAAAAAACAAGAGATTAGCAAACTCTTACTGTAATTCATTTTCTCCCAACAACATCTACTGTAATATATCTCCTTGGAGAGCTGTAAATTAAAAATGGATGGAGATGGCAGAAAAGAACTACAGTACCTGAATTCAGCTGCTGATCTCAGGTCTTATAAGGGTTGAGATTGTAGCTAGAGTGGAAGGCTTCCCTCTTCTGGATTTATAATCAAACACATACATTTCATATGCACTCTATGTGTATAAAATACTTTCAAGTAACATATATGCTGCCCCTCTTCTCCTTTCTCATGTTCCTCATCAGCATCCTTAAGAATTTGGATGTGTCAGGAAGTCCTTTGTCTGACATATTGTAGCTGAAGTGGGTGAAAACAGCTGCCAAATCAGCTGTCCAGGAAAGCTGGTCATCTCAGCTCCATGTCCATCAATGGGGAAGGGCAACAGAATTATGAAATATAAATGCTTATTATATGATCTCTTCAAAGACAGCATGTCCAGAGCCACATGTTCTAGTTAGGACATTTGGATGTACCTAGTACTTAGATCCAATATCAGTCTTCTATAGAGGCTGATGCCTTTGCTGCTTCTTTTTAGGAGCCATCATTAGACCCAATTCACAGGGTAAGTGAGAAAACAGCTTTAGCTAAATAATATGTACAAATGTACATGTGCACATACAGTCATGTGAAAAGGGAAGTACATTCTGTTTGAATTCTATAGTTTTATGTATCAGGACATAATAAAAATCATCTGGTCCTTAGCAGGTCTGAAAATCAGGTAAATACAACCTCAGATGTATAACAACACATGGCATATTACATTGTATCATGATTTATACAAGGCTTCTGCATTTTGGCCTTATTTTTGTTAAATAAATCATGATACAATGTAATATGATTCGATAGCTTGTAGAACCACCTTTAGCCGCAATAACTGGAAGTATTTTTTTTTCTTTATGACTTTCTCTGTCTCTCACATTGTTGTGGAGGTATTTTGGCTCACTCTTCTTTACAACGTTGCTTCAGTTCATTGAAGTTTGTGGGCATTTGTTTATGCACAGTTCTCTTAAGATCCCACCACAGCATTTCAATTGGGTTGAGGTCTGGACTTCGACTGGGCCATTGTAGCACCTTGATTCTTTTCTATTCCAGCCTTCCTGTTGTAGATTTGCTGGTGTGTTTGGAATTCCAGCCATCCTGTTGTAGATTTGCTGGTGTGTTTGGAATTGTCCTGTTGCATGATCCAATTTTGGCCAAGCTTTTTCTGTCGAACAGATGGCCTCAGGTTTGACTGTGGAATACTTTGGTATACAGAGGAGTTAATGGTCGACTCATAGTGCCAAGGCTCTGTGCCTGCAAAACAAGTCCAAATCATCAGTGACTGCTGAGTGCCGAGGTTCTGTGCCTGCAAAACAAGCCCAAATCATCATCCTTCCACCACTGTGTTTGACAGTTGGTATGAAGTGTTTGTGCTGATGTACTGTGTTTGGTTTTCACCGGACGTGGTGCTGTACATTGAGGCCAAACATCTCCACTGTAGTATCATCTGTCCAAAGGACACTGCCTCCAGAAGTCTTGTGGTTTGTTCAGATGCAACTTTACAACCCTAACTGGCACTGCCATGTCCTTTTTAGAGATAAGAGGCTTTCTCCTGGCAACCCTTTCAAGCAAACCATACTTGTTCAGCCTTTTTCCAATTGTACTGTCATGAACTGTAACATTTCACATGCTAATTGAAGCCTGTAGAGTCTGAGATGCAAAAACTCTTGGGTTTCTGCAGTTTCTCAGAGCATTGCGTGATCTGACCTTGGAGTGAATTTGCTTGGATGTCCACTCCTGGGAAGACTGGCAACTGTTTTGAATGTTTTCTACTTGTAAATAAGCTACCTCAGTGTAGAATGATGGACTTTAAATTGTTTGGAAATTGTTTGGAAACAGACCAGATTGACAGGCAGTAACAATTGCTTCTCTACAATCATTGCTGATGTGTTTCCTCCTTGACATTATGCTAATACACACCTGAATGCTCCAGAACAGCAAATTGCTAAAACTTGGGCTTTTGTAGAGGTGTTCACACTTCCTGGTGATCAGTTCCTCAAGGGCATTTGGTTAGTAGCAACTGGCTACTATGTAGCAATTCCTATATAATACACACCTGAATGCTCCAGAACAGAAAAGTGCTAAAACTTGGGCTTTTATAGAGGTGTTCACACTTGCTGATGATCAGTTCCTCAAGGGCATTTGGTTAGCAGCAACTGGCTACTATGTAGCAATTCCTATGGAAGCCGTAAGAGTGTACCTAGTTTTTCACATGTGGCTTCTCCAATTTGGCTTTATTTTTGTTAAATAAATCATGACACTGTAATATGCCATGTGTTGTTGTTCATCTGAGGTTGTATTTACCTAATTTTCAGATTTACTAAGAACCAGATGATTTTATTGTGTCTTGAGATGTAAAACCATAGAATTCAAAGAGGGTGTACTTTCTTTTTCACATGACTGTATCTATGTGTGTGTCTCTGTGCTTATGCATGGGGTGTCTGTGTGTGTGTGTGTGTGCGTACACACACATGTGTGTCTCTGTGCTTATGCACACACACACACACATCATGCACAAGCACAGGCACACATCACTTTAATGCCCAGATCTCTAATAACAGAAATTGCAGTCATTACATTTTTAGACTATAGTTCCCTGAATCCCCCAGCTAGCATAGCTCATAACCATGCTGGCTGGGGGATTGTGCACATTGTAGACCAAAAAATAACTTCTACGGACTTTAACACATTCTGGGAATTTGTCCAGACATTTCTTCAGTGTAATTACAGAAATAGTGAAGGTCAAATAGCCACTATGTGTACAGTTCTGTCTTAAATTCACATCAAACGTATAAGAGGTTAAGGCTTTCGTACGTTTAATAAGCAGATTGGACCTTTTCACATCCTTGATGTTGCCTGCTTCGGGTGACAGAGAGACCACTTGCAGACTTGAAGCTATTTCACACTGACTGCAGCTCAGCAGACCCCAGCCTTTCCAAGAGGTCTGAGAAGGAGCCAGAGCCAACAGCCTTCTAATCTCCAGTGATGGAGGAGACCCAAAAAAAAAAAAAACTTTTGAGCTACAGCCAACAAAGCAATCTAAAGGCAGAATGTGTGTTAAAATACTTTAACATACATTCCACCTCACAGAACAGTACGATGCATGAGTATACTGTGTGAATATGCCATACAGCTTTGTTGATCCACCACTGTTCTTGTACTCTTATTTCTAGTGGAACTTCCCACTTCTGATGTTCACTTGGAAGATTGCCCAGGCTCTTTGTTGCGGAAACACCGTGGTCATCAAACCGGCAGAGCAGACTCCATTAACTGCTCTTCACATGGGCTCTTTAATTCAAGAGGTGAGTTGCCATAGCAAAGTTCCTTTAAAAAAAACAATAGGGGAGCAGTTGCCCTGAAAGACGCTGCAGCGGTAACAGGAGCAACAGTGTTTATAAACAGTACAGGCTAGTTTGCCTCGTGTTGATCTGGATCCTAACATGTCTAGCCTTGTCTTGAAGAACTGGGATGCAAACCACTGCAGCAAATCAAAGGCAAGAGACTGGCATGACTTTCCATCCTAAACTGCTTAGAAAACAAATCATTAGCAGCTTAGTAAACTGAGTGCTTACTACCTCACCAGGACCTTCTAGAAGCACAAGCAAATAAGAGCTCAGAAGAGCAAAGTGTTGGGTAATAAAGGAGTGGAGGAGGAGTGAGCAGATGGGTTCTGCATACACAGCTTCTCCGTCATTAATTTCTATCATACACTTTGGGATTTTTATTTAACCCTCTTACTGAAACACATGCACTCCCCATGAATCAAAAAGAAACAGCATGAAACTGCCAAGTATCAAGTTTGGTATGCCTGACTTGTTCGCAGTGAAACTGACTGTGGGCAAGTTACAGGCTCCATGATCAAAGGATAAACTTTTTAATTACTGGCAATCTCTTCTGCCAGTGACATCATCACCCTTACACAGGTATAATGTACTCAACAGGAGTTTGGCCTTTATGCATTACTTTGCCAATAAAGCATTGCTAGTGCATTACTCCTTAATGAAATAATTATTTTTCCTTAAAAAACTGAGTGGCTCCAAATGGTGAAAAAATCCACATGCAATCAATCATCCACACGCAATCAATCATGTCCTCCAAGCATTTTGGAGTAACAAGTAGATATTACATACCCCAAAATAATGACACCATTCACCAATCTCATCTTATTTCCTAATGGTAAGTTGTGTTCTTATTGTTATGTGCTGTCAGATCAGAACCAACTTATAGCCACCCCAGTAGGGCTGAAATATTTAAGACTTGGTTTTATCAGTTCCACACTCCTAGTGAGTTTCCATGGCTGACCAAGGATATGAACTCAGAACTCCTAAGTCCTAGTCCATCACTCTATCCATTGCACCACACTGGATATCCTACGTTCTTCTTATCTCCTTCAAAAGTGATATTTTGCAATCAATTCTATTGCTTTTACTATGTCACTTCTAAACTCTATGTAGGAGAACAGTGGAAGATTGAATTGGGGCCATGCTCTCTAGTAACTAAAAGGAAGGGAAACAGAAAAGTACAGTAGCTCAAGAAAAGTATGTTCATCATTAACCAGAGAAAAGTACTAACAAACTCCAGCATAACTGCTCTGGCCGTAACGTGACATGACTCAGCAAAAGTGAAATAGGATTCTGCAACTAAACAGTTAAGGGTCAAAATGTAAGAAGGCTATCAGGGACTCAGTCATAAAATCATTACTGGAATTTCGCATTCCTTTCATAAAACTTTATTTTTGCTGTCGGCTATGTTGTCAGCTATTATATTCCTTCACCATTTATAGTAAAGCGAAGATGATCTGTTTAAATGTCAGTTTTGTCTGTAAGTAAGTCCAACATTCTCATAAGCAGAGGGTGGGAATCTTAGGGATCCGAGTCTGTTTTTGAGAGTTTCAGTCTTCAGATAAACAAGGCATAAAACATGGACATAAAGAACACAGGATTCCAGGGATTCTCCTGCTGAGGGCAGGCCCACCCGGCTGACAGGCAAGATAGGATGGAAAGGCGAGAGGAGACAGAGAACTTTCCTGTCAGGCAGCAGAAGTTAGTTTGGCTGCCCACAGAATGCCTAGGCCAACAATTAAGGCTGGAAAATGGGTGGTTGCAGTGGGGTGGGGTGGGGGGCAGCAGGGCCAGAAAGTGTGAATGTCTAACCCTCACCTCTTCTCCCCTTCCTGTGTTCTTACCAGACTGTCAAGTTAGAAAGATAACCTGTTCTACGTTGTGGTGTAAAGTCAGTCCTGGATAAGTAGCCTTACCCGCTCAACTAGCATAGAACTTGCTCCTAGCCTAATCTGTTTAACAGAGTGGTTGGGAAGATGAAGTGGGGCGGGGGAACCATTGGGAACCCTGACATGTGATGGCTTCTCCTCCTTCCTTCGTGTCAGAAGGACCCCAGTAGTGCTTCTAGAGTGGAAGGATCAGCCAGCAGGTTCTGTCGTTGTACAATGGCATAAAAATATAAGAAATAAAATGGATGTCACGGGAGGGATGAAAGATAAAATCATCTCCTTTTCCTCCGAATCATGTAGGCAGGATTTCCACCTGGAGTTGTGAATATCATACCTGGGTATGGACCTACTGCTGGCGCAGCCATTTCCAGTCACATGGATGTTGATAAAGTGGCGTTCACAGGCTCTACTGAGGTATTTTGGTAACACTGTCAGTAATTGTGGGCAGAAAATTCCAAAACCCTGATTTTGAAAATGATTGAGCACCTAACTTTCTTAACGTAACTATGAGTGCTTGTACAGGAAGATCTATTTTTCAGCGATCACACAGTGCATGGGAAAATGTGCTCTAGCCCAACCCTGATCCACACTTTTCTCATCTTTGGTCTTGCTATAAAGCTACTACCTCTTGGGACCTGGATGGATGGAAGGGTCACTTTAAGGGAGATTATTCCTGTTAAAGTGACCCTTTCTAGTGTGATCAGACACATGCCTTTCCAGCCATCTGATCACACGCTATGTTAAGTTTTTGAGAGTGTGTGCTTCTTAAATAATCTTACTTTAATGATTTGCTGGTTGTTGTTCGCACCTCAGATAACTTGTACGGTGTTTGAATATCTCTTCAAACAAAATAATTTTGGAAGGTAAAACTATTTTGTGTGTTTAGCTGTCTCCATTTTAAGAAGGTATATATGCTTTTGTGCATATTTTATTTTTCTGAAATGTACCATAAGCTCTGCTGATATGTGAAGTTGCAAAGTGCCTTTTATCTCTGTCAGCATCTCAGAAGCCACAGAATGGACATGTCCATCAAGAATCTCCAGTTCACAGAAATCATTTTCCATCTCTACTCATTGTGAGGGATACTTGACACAAATACTTGGTCTCTGTTCCTTCGTGAGTGAAAAGGGCTTGAGCAGACCTTGGAATGTTACTTTTAAGAAACAACTTGTTGCATTACTCATTATTTGGCTTGGATATGACATCATTATTTTTTTTTCACACTAGACCAAAGGAAAGTAAATTGTTACATTGGTCATTATGAACATATTACAATTATCATTATCTTCGCACCATTGAAAAATACAGGAAAGTGTTCTCAAAAGAAAATCTCCTTAGTGTTGTCCCTGAAGTTCACAAGATGGAGATAAAGGCAGGGGTGGAAAGGAGAGGGACAAGAAGAAAATGCAAAATTTGCAGTGGTTCTTCTACATCATCCTGGGAGAAATGCCTGACAGAGACATTTTGATCCATGAAAACTCTCATTAAAACAGTTTTTTTTAGTCTTCAGAGTTGCCCATCCGCCACCTGTTCCCCTTTTAATTTTGGCAGCATTTATATTATGATGTTTTGTGAAAAATCCTTGAAATACTGGGAGAGGGATGCCTACTTTCTAATTACCTATATTGGGGGGTGGGGGTGGGACACCCATTAAACAGTTGTTATTCATTCAAAGCTGTCTTATTCCATGTCAGACCATACCTTTAAAAAGTTAATATTTTGAACTATTACTCCCAGAACCCTAGAAGGTTCTGGATGCTATAATTTTAAAGGGACTTTAAAAGTTTTGTGTATATACTACTCTGTCTCTGTCTCATGCATGTACAAACATTCACCCATGCAATGTCACCCAAAGTATTTTACCTTTGGAAAAATCTGTGCATGTTGTTGCCCTAATGAACTTTCTTAGTACTAATATAGTCAATTAAATTTTGTTTTGTTTCACATGCAAACGTTTCCTTTGTGTTTTTTCTTAGGTTGGCAAATTAATCACAGAAGCTGCTGGAAAAACTAATCTAAAGCGAGTTACTCTGGAACTTGGAGGGAAAAGCCCCAATATCATCTTTGCAGATGCTGATCGTGAGTTGTGTATTTCTCTTAGATATCCTTTCATGTAAAGCTTGGGAGTAACAGCTTGCAAATAACTAGTTACTTGTAATTCATTTTTATAACTATTGTATTATTTCATAACTATTGTATTTCAATAGTAAATTAAAAAGAGTTCACTCCTTTTGTACTTTAACTGTGCGTTTTGAGGAAACAGCAAATTAGATTGGAAGGAGAAGGTGTTTTGTACCATAAGCCAGTAATATGAGAAATTCAGATTTAAAGTGACGATTCTACGTATTTTTAGGAAACAGAAGAGTTAGCAGAAGAACTTTGACTATAACAGCAACAACATACCACTCCTTGAAAAAGTTACTTTTACAGAACTGAATTCATAGGTGGTTGTATTGGCTGGGGAATTGTGGGAGTTGTAGTTTTAAAAAGCAACCTTCCTAAGATCTGCTAATTACTTGGAGGTAATCGGAGCCTTGGAGCTATAGCTGTAGCTGGCAACTGAAAAAGCAATTTAACTGTTTACAGTTAAAAACTATTTAATTTTTTTCCAAACACTGGTGATTAAACAAGTGAATCAATAGAACAGTGTGACTGGAGTACAACTTCAATTATTGTTTAGAAAAGAATGCTATAACAGTAAATATGGAGAAAGAGGCAACGTGTTTGCCTAACTACGGGCATATTCTTTTGCAGTGGACACTGCTGTGGAATATGCACATTCTGGCTTGTTCTACCATCAAGGGCAATGCTGTGTGGCTGGATCTAGGATTTTTGTGGAAGAGCCAATATATGATGAATTTGTACAGAGGAGTGTAGAAAGAGCCAAGAAAAATGTCCTTGGAAATCCCCTCACTCCTGGAGTAAATCAAGGTCCTCAGGTAAGCTTCAACAGTAAGATTTTGTGTCAGGGTTTTGACAGACATAGGAGGACTCAAGACATAGACTTCCATGAATTAGGTTGAAGTATCACCCCTTCAGCCACTACAGATGTTTGGAAAGCAGCCTTATAGGCAGTTTGTTCTCTCTTCAGTGAGACTGCCCCTCACACTTTCTTCACCCTACGTATTTTATCCTTCCTGTCAACTGACTTTGTGCTCAGGGCCACAGCACTGCTGCATGTAAATAACATTCCCATTCTGCTCTTGCATAGCACTTCCTGGTGTCTTTAGACCTCTCCTGATTTCCTGCTTCTGCTGAGCTCTCCTGTCTGTTTTATTTCCCAGATTGCTGCATCTGCCTAGGTTACTTTGAGGGAGCTGCCCTCAGTCTGCTTTTCTACCCAATGATTTTGTCACATCTGTCAGTTTGACCCTCAGCCAAACCCTAATTCTGAACCCCACCCTAACATGTGACACTTTGACAAACAGGCACAAATATTTTGAAGAGAATCAGGCTTGCCTCATTTTTAGGTATCTGGATTATAACATGACAAGTTTTACTCACTCACCTTTTGCTCATTGATGGAAAAACCTCCATATCATATTAAATCAACATTTTAGCAGTATGCCTGCACTGGACTATAAGATGACACCATGAGCTTCAGACACTCTTGTAGTTTAAGATTGAGTCCTCAGCTGTTGGTGAATTAAAACTCCCAGAAGCTTTTACCACTAGCTGTGCTGGCCAGGATTTCTGGGAGTTGTAGTCCAAGAACATTTGGAAACCCAAGGTTGAGAACCACTGCAGTATAAGAAGTGGAGAATGTGGGTCCTGCAGATGTTGTTGGACTGCAGCTCATGCCAGTCAAGGGTACCCTAGCTAGTGGCAAGGTGTCTTGCAAGTTTCAGCCTAACACCATGTGGAAGGCCACACATTCTCAGTCTCTAACATACAAAACTATTGTAAATACAGTAGTCAGCAGCAGATCCTAAGGTTTTTCTACATGCAAGGGGGTCAATATATCCCTAATGCTATTCAAATTTATAAGGCCAAGAGTCTGGCCCAACTTATTTATGGCATCCCTGTTTGGATACTGGGATTCAATGCCCAAGTAAAAAAACTTCAATCTGCCTTATTAAGGAAACTCTTGGGCCTTCCATCTTTTGTGGGTTTTGCTGCTATCTATCTGGAACTGGGCATTCGATCACTAGAATGGAAGGCATGAGTCGCGGCCTTTAAATGATGGCTACATCTACACTTTCTAGCAGTCCCTGGTAGTTATCTCTCTCTACTACTTAAGGATACCTATATTACCCAATGGTCGAGAGAGATGGAGAAAAAGCTACAGTGGTGCCTCGCTTAGCGATGTTAATTCGTTCCAAAAAATCGCTGCTAAGTGATTTCATCGCTAAGCAAAACGCAGTTTCCCATTGAAATGCATGGAAAACCGGATAATCCATTCCAATAGGAATGAATTGCTGTCCTTAAGCGAAAATCGCCATAGGAAACATCACTAAGCGAAACGCGGTTCCCCAATTGAAATGCATTGAAACCTATTCAATGCATCTTAATGGGGGAGAAATACAACAACAAATTTAAAAAGAGTCAGAACAAAGTCGAATTTGGTTAACAAAGGGTTTATTAAGTGCACTTTATGATTTCAAACATTTTAAACAGTAAACTTTAACTTTATAAATAACAGAAAAACATTTAAAAAACAGCAAACATGAGGCTGTTTAAACCATCGTTAAGCGAAACAGGGGACCCCAAATTTAATCGCTATGCGAAGCATGGTCCCAACCATCGCTAAGCAAAAAGCACCCATAGGGATCATCTCTAAATGAAGTGCAAAACGCTCTGAAAAAGTCATCACTAAGCGATTTCATCGCTAAACAGAGCACCTGTTAAGCGAGGCACCACTGTACTTAAGTTAGGTCTTTGAGTAGAAGATGTGGGTAGCTATGATTATCAGAAGGTTAAATCCCTTGTTGTTTAGAGATTAATAGACTTGGACCTACAGCACTTAAGAACTGCAGCTAATAAACGCTGTTCTCCACTCATCTATAATAAAATTAATAACTACAGACTCCTCATTGATCCATACTTACATGCATTGTCCACTCCAAAATATAGACAGATAAGTACTCATACATACATAACAGTACATCGAGTGACCTTCTGCCTCTAATGTAGAAAGAGGCAGGCATGGGATGACTTGCAATAGCCTGAACTTAAGGTAGGACAGCACCCCTTTTGCTTGAATAGGTGAGCAACCACTGACAGACAGCCATTTGCGCATAGCTCACTAGGTGGCTGAATAGCCCTAATCAAGAGAAGAGTCTTCACAATACCAGGCTGCAAGGATGTGTGCTGTTGCCTTAAAGACCTCTTCTATTATCTTGGTTATCCTTGTGGTATGAAACATTATGCACTAGCTTTGCGGAACCAGTTCCATGTTTTTTTCCAGCCTCCTCCATCTGACAGATACAGTTTGAATCAATACGAGTACTGGAAAGCTGCTCTTAAACAATACTATGAGAGCAGCCCAAACCAACTCATCTACAAGAAACCTTTATACATTCTCTGACATTTTTGAAGATGTAAGACTATGCATTGAGAATCTCAGGATCAACAACCACTGGTTCAGAATTCTGCAGTTAAAAGCCATGTATTCTGCAATTAAGTTAAAGTAGAGCAATTAAGGAGCCTGCCTTTTCCAGTACAATATTAGGTGCAGAAAATGCCCAAAGTGAGGGTTATGGCACAAATTAAACATAACTTTTGCTCTCTAGAAAACTTATTAAAATGTTTTACTATTTGGCTCTTCTTAAATGTGTTTTATTACTCCTGAAGTTCTGAACAGTGTGACTTCTCCTGATTAATTGGTTTGAGAGTGGCATCCATGCAAGTAGAGAAGTTGTACTTCAAAGCATAACCTACTAAGTTAAAACACTTTCAGGAGAATGAATATAATTCTGAGTGAAGGGCATTAAAGTTCTTGGCCCACAATAGCACAGACAACTTTGCAAGGCAGTGCTTGCCTTTTCTCTTTCTAAATTCTTCTGTGCTGAAAATAATAATTACTGAATTTCATAGGAAATGCTGGAAAAGATCCAGCATCTCAAAGGCACATTGTTAATTCATCTCTCACTGGTAATGAGTTTGTTTCTGCTTTGTTAATCTTAAAGCCAAAAAAGTGTCTTTGAGGGAATGAGTTACCTGTGCAATATATTTGTTTTTCTTTTTAGATTGATAAGGAGCAACATGATAAAATACTGGAGCTGATTGAGAGTGGGAAAAAAGAAGGTGCCAAACTGCAATGCGGAGGAGGCCCTTGGGGAGACAAAGGCTTCTTCATCCAGCCCACGGTTTTCTCTGACGTGAGAGACGAGATGCGCATTGCCAAAGAGGAGGTGAGCAAGAGGAGAACATTCTGCCTTTTTGTTATGTTCCCATCGTTTCCCAAGATGTGCATTCTTTTTAAAAAAAATAGAATGTATGAATTTTATTTCATATGGCTTTCCCTTAACTCTCATTGTGTTTTTAAAATACATGTGTTAGATTAGCTTAGCTAATATGTTGCCAGTACTGTGTAATTTCAAAGGTCTTCTGAAATCATAAAATGTCTTCCTAAAACTATGCTTTCAAAGGGAAATATATAAAGTCATCCGTCCTGTATATAGAGCCAACCGGACCACCAGGCAGAGTGAGCCAGGCACCTCAGGAGTAGTGAAATAATGCTAGTGTTAAAGAGATGTGACTCCTATTGTGCAGTTGCAACCCAAGCTTGTGTTTTATGTCTGAGAAATAAAGAGTTTCCAAGAAGGCCTGAAGACCAATCACACACCAGAGGAAGCTAATCTGCAAACTGTAGAAGGTGTGAAAAGATCCTGCTGTGAAAACCACTCACAATTCAGCCCTTAAAGATTTCTTTTTCTAATGACAGGATATTGTTCGCCTTTCAGCATTGGTAGATGACCTACACAGAGAACTGAATAAGGGATCTGTGTCCCTGTTGTTTTTGCTGGCCCTCTCAGCAACATCTGATATTATTGACCACAGTATCCTCCTGACCCGTCTCTCTGGAATGGGACTTGGAGGCACCGTTTTACGATGGCTCCAGACCTTCCTGGAGCAGAGAACTCAGAAGGTGGTGCTGGGGGAGTCATGTTCAAGATCCTGGCCACTGACCTGTGGTGTCCCCCAGGATTCTTTTTTGTCTCCTATATTATTTAATATCTACATGAAACCACTAGGAGTTTGGGGGTTCAGTGTCATCAGTATGCAGATGACACCCAACTCTACTTCTCCTTACCACCTAAGCCCAAGGAACCTGTTTTGGCTCTAGATCAATGTTTGGCATCAGTAATGGATTGGATGAGGTTGAATACATTGAAACTTAATCCAGATAAGACAGAGGTGCTCCTGGTCAGTCGAAAGGCAGATCAAGAAATAGGGATGCAGCTTGTACTGGAAAGGATTACATTCCCATTGAAAAAATAGGTATGCAGTTTGGGGTGCTCCTGGATTCATCTCTGAGCCTGGATGCCCAGATCTCAGTGGTAGCAAGTTCATTTGCACAATTAAAACTAGTATGCCAGCTATGTCCTCCATTTCTTGAGAGATCTGATTTGCCTAGTGTGATACATGGCCTAATTACTTCCCAACTGGATTATTGAAAACACTCTATGTGGGGATCCCAATGGAAAGTGTCAGGAAACTTCAACAGGTTCAAAATGCAGCAATCAGATTGCTGACTGGGGCTGGTTATAGGCATGACATAACCCCCATTACATGAACTCCTCTGACTCCTATTAGTTTCCAGGCACAATTCAAAGTGCTGATTTTAACCAATAAAAGAGCCTAAATGGCCTGGCTCCCATTCTGAGCTGGCTTGGGTGTTAAGATAATCAGGAGAGGCCTTTTCTTGGTCCTGCCACCTTCACAATTGCATCTGATGGGGACACAGGAGCAAGCCTTCTCTGTTGCTATTCGCAGACTTTGGAACTCCCTCCCACAAGCAGGCAAAGGCCTTTCTCTTCAGGCAAGCCTTCCCTCAGTAACTAGCTACTTGTGTGTGATTTTTTTAGATAGATTGTTGTGCATTAGTGCTTTGACTGGATTTTTAGTACTGTACTATGCTTTCCATTTCTGTATTTTCCATTTCTTAGAGTGCCAATGGTGTTTTTTTAATTGTATACTTATTGTTCTTCTCTTTAATATTCTCTTTTAATGATGTAAGATGCCTCTTTAGATAGATATAGATAGACAGACAGACAGACAGACAGACAGACAGATAGATAGATAGATAGATAGATAGATAGATAGATAGATAGATAGATAGATAGATAGATAGATAGATAGATAGATAGATAGATAGATAGATAGATAGATAATCATGAAAGGGTGGCAAGTTATTATTCATTTATGTCATAAGTTTTTACTGTTAGTATCTCCACAGTGTCTTGACGGAAGGGCAGAAGCACTCCTGGGATTTTCTGCTTCATCTGCTGTTTGTTTGTTTGTTTAACTTATATGCCGCCCACTGTACCCAAAGGTCTCTGGGTGGCTTACAACAGTTAAAATACAATAAAAATACTAAGCAAAGCCAGCAATGTCAGGTCCTTTTACTTGGGTGGACGAGGGAGGCCACTTGAAACTCTACCTCAAGCAGCAAAATGTCTTGGGTTGGGCTGATTTGCATTCTCTGATATGTTTACAGCCCCCTAGATAGCTTTGACAGAGGCAATCACCACAGCCCAATAAAAGAGATTTGTATGTATTTATATGTAAGTCTGCTGCAGCATACATGGATAATGCACTTCTGCACATGACTTTTCATTGCAAGAACTTTTTTGGGGCTACAACTCCTGGAATTACCTCTAGCCAGACTGGCTAGTTATTCTGGGAGTAGTACTCCAAAACATTAACTTCTCCAAAGGCTGTTCATTGGAGCCCTACTGAGACCACTGAAGGGATGCAAAGAAGTACTGTATCAATATTCCTGTCCAGGTTATGGCTGCATTTCAATCAAGACTAGAAGCCGCAGGAAAAAGAACTATCACAAAACCAGCAGTTAAAAAGACAGTCCTCCCTGTTTTGGTGCTCACTCCATATTTCTGGAGAAGAAATATTTCGACTTGGACTACTGGCTTTTTAAAAAAAATCTTACTTGTATTTATTCTAGCCATTGATAGAAATTGCCATGCTAACACTATTATTTCACTGTGACAAGTTAAAGTATAATCTGGGAGGAAGACTAGGGAATGGGAGTCCTCCAGATGTTGTTGGATTGCAGCTCCCTTCACCCTTCATTATTAGCTCGAGGTGTGCAGATTTGTAATTGTGGGTGACCTCTCTCAGGACTCGCTCATCTGCACGCTTCTGCTTTTCTGGCTCTGCTGGTCAGAGCTGGTGGGAATGGACATTATTCCCACCCCTGCTCTAGGTGAGTTACAGCAATGCCTTTCCTTAATTTAGGGAAAACCAGTGTTGTAAACAAGTTTCTATGCTGTTGTTTTTCCCTACATTTTTGCCTCACAAAGTATTGTCTGTTTTTGTCTGGAACAGATATTTGGGCCAGTCCAACAGCTCATGAAATTCAAGACAATAGATGAAGTTATCAAGAGAGCAAATGATACTCACTATGGTTTAGCAGCTGCAGTGTTTACCAAAGACATAGATAAAGCTCTAATATTTGCATCTGCACTTCAGGCTGGAACTGTGTGGTATGTATCCTTGATGCTGCTCTTTAAAGTCTGACCAACCTTACTTGGAAGAATTCCTCTATATATTTTTTGTCTTGGAGATCTATAGTTACACAGGCTGAAATGCTTGGCACAGTAAGGTGCACTAAAGTAGACACACTGAATCAGTTAAGATTGGTGAGTCAGTTCCTCCATATTTTCCATTGATTCAAATGGGCCTACTCTACTTTCAACTTTAGCATAAATCTAAATGAATTGTACAGTGGTGCCTCGCATAGCGAGGTTAATCCGTTCCGGATTAACCCTCACTATGTGAAAACATCGCTGTACGAAACGGGGAAAGCCATTGCGTTCCAATAGGCTCCAAAACTCACCGTTCAGCGAAGTTTGTCCATAGCCGGCAGCCATTTTCGCGCCCTCAGTAAGCGAGGGGAGGGCGCGAAAATGCTGTGCGCGGCCATTTCAGGGCTTCCGGAAGCCATTTTGGAGCTGCCGAACAGCTGATCCGCGGCATCGCTTTGCGAAGATCGGTAAGTGAAACGCTTACCGATCATCGCAAAGCGATTTTCGGCCATAGGGGCCATCGGTATGCAATCGCATTTGCAATCGCTGAAACCTCCTCACTATGCGGATTCGTCGTTCTATGGTGTGCTCGTTAAGCGAGGCACCACTGTACTTAAAAAGGAGTTGACTCACCAAATCCCCACATATTTGATGTACATGCTTTAATGCAACATACTATGCTAAACAACAGGATTTCAGCCATAGAGTAAACTGTGTTGCTGGTATTCCTTTTATATTGTAATATCTCTTATAATACTCTTACTATGTATTGGGTTAGAGATCATCTGTGTGCCTGCAGATCACTAAGTTCAAAGGCAAAGTCTTGCAGTCTGCAATCTAGGAAAGAGAGTACTGGATCTAGGATCTATCAGCAATTGCCTGAGCAGAATTTTGCTCAGAAAACTGACCTTGCTGGAAAAGGGAAGACAAGTTTATCCAGGGAGGAAATTCCACAGCTGTGATACAGTTGATTGTTCTGTCAGCAGGTCTTAACAAGCAAGTGGCTCTGTGGTCAGATCTCAGAGATCACCCAGTAAAGGTTCTTCTGGAAGAAGAGTCTTATGTTTAATGCTAATCCCCTGTAGCCAGTGTAGCACATCTTAGGATAGTAGAGCCTATTTTTAAATGATTTAAGAGTTCTTAAGTTATAAATATAAGAGAAAAAAAGATAGTTTCTTCTCAAATGTGGAAACCCATCCTAAATACTCTACTCTCATCTGACTGTTGCTTACGTAGAAATCCTTTATATGAATAAGTATCTTCATCTCTCTCCCCCTCTTTTCTCTTCAGGGTTAACTGCTTTAGTGCAGTGTCTGCTCAGTGTCCTTTTGGAGGGTTCAAAATGTCAGGAAATGGCCGCGAACTGTAAGTAAAGCCAACAGGAATGTATTCAGATATTGATGTTGCATTTTGTCTGTGTGAAACCCACAAAAAAATTAATATCAATCATCTTACATGATGAATTTTAGCAGGAAAAATGTCACTACAGATCCTTAGTTCCAGAATGTTTTGTCTTCGTGCTCTCTGAATTTCAGTTGTCTGACTTGGCGTATAAGATAAAAGAGTAAGCATATGGAAGAAATACAAGGAAATGTTGCTTTATGTACAAATTGATCATAAAAACCTAGGGCTTTGATATGACCATTATCAGCAGAATTAATTACACTTCTCTCTACCCACACTTTGGCACTGTTGCAGATACTCCAATGTCATTTTTTTCATCTTTTGAGGTAAAACAGCAAAAATTTAAAAATTAGAAAGAATATGATGCAGAGGCAGTTCTTGGAAAACAGGTAAAGTGTGGGTGCTCACCACCAGAGGTCCCCAAACCCCGGTCCATGATCCAGTGCCGGTCTGTGGCCTTAGCTGAACCAGACTGTGGAGACAGACCTCCCCCCACCCCTGGACACATTCCACCGCCAACCCCTTTGCGCATCCGCACATGCGTGTGCTCCCCCACCCCTTCATACATACGCACAAGTGCCCCCGAGCGCTGCACCACCCTTCACACATGGGCACGAGTGTGCGTCCACCCTGCTAGAGAGAGCACCCGCTCCTTCGCACATATGCACGCACATGGGGGTGCCCGCCTTCCCCAACTGGTCCATGGGGTTAAAAAGGTGGGGACTGCTGCCCTACACAGTTATATCAGTCTTGTACCACTTTAATTCCCATGGCTCCATCCTACAAAATCCTGGGACTGGTAGTTAGTGAGCTTCTTAGAATCATGCTGTAATTCAGAGGGGTACTCTAGTCTACAGCAATTTAGAAGACAGTATTACAGTGGTTCCTTGCCATGCATAACCCAGGTGTTCTTGGACTGCAATTCATAGAAACCCCAGCCAGCAAAACTAGCAGCAAAGGCTTCTGGGAGTTTCAGTCCAAGAACACCTGGGTTAACTAAGGTTTTGGAACCACTGCAACACTAAGTACCCCACTGAATTAGTAATCTAGGATTCCATAGGAGGGCACCATGACAAGCGAGATGATATCAAATGTGTACTCCAGATGTGGCAAATACAGTTCTCTGGCACTATAGCTACCTTCCAAAGAACCAAAGAACTAATTTCACATGCCTAGTATAGGAAGTGAGTAATCTGGTGACATGTTCCTCAAAAAGCAGTCCTTGCTCCCAGTAGTACATATAAAATCTAAGACTAAGGTAACTTTTCTAAGTAGTTTACAGTGTAGGATAGTGGTCCACTGGCCCACAGGAAAGAAATAAGGAACCCCACTGAGGATGTTTATATCAATTCTTTAGATCCTGGATCACAACAATTGTCCTGTAGGAATTGTTTGTATCTCTGTGTAATAGAAATCTGAATATCATCTTTTCCAGAGGTATTCTGCAGCCATAATAGTTGCATGGCACAGTGTGATTAGTTGTAGGGACATGCAGAGTAATTTAAAGTTCTGGGTTAGGTAATACTTTTATTGAATCACTAAAACGTTACAAGGAAGGTCTTGTATCCACATGGCACAGAACACCTCAAGTGCAATCTAAGTAATTCAGAACATGATCAATTGTAGTCACAACACTATTGATTATACGGCCTTTCAAATGTGTGCTGTTGTTTTTCATTACAAGTGGGTATAAAATTAACTAAAGTGATAGCAAGATTTAGTTTATTTTGTTAGAGGGACTGTCTTACTGAATCCAAATGAAAAGGAAATATACAAATATAAATTGTGGTGATTTCCTGAACCAATCAAGAATTTCCATTTATGGATATCAATAACTCCTTTTTGATAACATGGATCCAGACAGAACTGAAGTTTCTGTGTCTTCTCGGTGGCTGAAGAATCTTTCTGAGAGAATAAATTGGTTTATAATTGAAATAGCACCTAATATGAGCTATATGGTCCACCTGGAAGGGAGGACAAGAACAGCTGTTAATGCATGTGGCTAGAGGTGACTGAGATATTTATTTATTTTATTTTATATATACCCCACCTATCTGTTCAAAATGACCACTCTAGGCGGAGATAACATGGCTGGCCAGCAGAGACATGTGACATTAAAAGCCCTATGGACTAGATTAGGAATTATGTTATTACAGTAGTTTGCTTTTCTACATTTGAGCTCCAAGGAGTTGAAGGCAGTGGGCATGGTTCTCCACGCACCCCAGGAATAATAGCAGGCCCCAGGTTACCAGTGAGTGTTAGGGCTGAACAGAGTTTTGAACTCCTATCTCCCTGGAAGCAAGAAGCATCATTTATTTACATTCATTAACCATCCTAGCTTTGTTCAACCTATCATTCTACCAAGTTCTCACCAGAAATCCCTCACATGTAAGCAGCAGTTTCATGGTTTAATTTTCAAAAGTAGCCCACTGACCTTAACATTCACATTTGAAGGGCTATCCAGTCCTCTTTGGCACTTACTTCCCACGCCAAAGCTGGCCAGCCTGTACATTGTTGTGACAGCTAAATGAGCGGCAGCCATACAGGCTACAATATCTCTGGCTCTCAGCCTCTCTGTGACATCTGAAGATGTGAAAATATACTGTCAGATGAGTCCATGTTGTAAAACCATGAACATTCTGGCTCACCTCTCTCCCTCCCTCCTTTCCTCATTCTCTTTTAAGGGGAGAATATGGCCTTCATGAGTATACAGAAGTCAAGACAGTCACAATCAAAATTCCACAGAAGAATTCATAATGTCATTTCTGGAGTCGGGACTTGACAACATCAAAGGCTAACTTCATTACAAAACATTTTGTAACTGAAGCTTGCATTAAAAAAAAATTTCTTTCTGTTTGTATGAACAAATGATTTTGACAGCAATTCACTAATTTTTAATGTTGAATCTGTTTAATTGAGAAGAGGAAACCTTCATGCTAGACTTAAATAAGCGTAATTTGAATCTATTTAAGGAAAAAAAGTACTTTTTCCTAATTTGAATTTTTAAGTAGCTCTGTGGAACACAAAGTATTGACTGATACTATTTATACAATTTGATTTAATGTATTGTTATAGAGTTACCAGCTGTCTTTCCCTTCTTTGTTCCTAACTTGGCAAAAGCACTTATATAGCGCTATCAAAGAGATACTTTCATTATTTTCTGATACATGCTACAGCTTTGAATCTGTTCATATAAATTTCTGTACAGAATGTTCTGGATGTAAACTTCATTAAAACAATTACCGCAACTTTGCTTTGTTTTCTATTGTGTACTGGATTTACTAGTATAGCAAGTAAAGTTATATTTGGGCACAGGAAAAACACCACTCTGTGCAAGACTTTTAATAATCCTGGATAACATGGCATTGTCCAGAAAATAATATAACTGCTAAACCTTTTAAATATCCTGCATGATTTCTCAGAGACAAAAAGAGAGATCTTACGCAGAGGGAGCTGGCTATGAAGAGAAAAGAAGGGACTTTTTTTTTCTTAGTTTCTCTACAAGAGGCTGTACAATTCCCATTCCTAGTGCAGCAACTCTACTCCTCATCCTTATCTATTCTTTCTAGTAATAAAAGGATAGAAAAATGATAGAAAATGTAGGAGGGTTACAAATGGAAGATGACATAATCTTGAGCCCTTTAGACAATTGCAGCTGCAAGGAAAAAGCTTCATCTGAAATCACCAAAAGTCAATAGGGCATTAAGAATTTGCATGCACTGTTTCAAAAATAAACATAAACCCACATATAGTAACTAACAAATAGGCATTCCCGACTGCAAATGTGCAGTCCAGTCCTTAGCATGTCTGTTTTGTTCTGCAGTTCTCCAGTTTTCTAGGCAGGATTACAGCAAGAACCCCATTTATTTGCTTCACACCTTTCCCCCAAAGAGCTCAAGCTACCAATCCTGTGCATTAGGAGTGGCCCACTTAAGGGAGGAAGTTTTGCAACCTCAAGAGTCCCTGCACACCTCACCATTCCCTTTTGCTGAAACCAGTAGTGTTTGGAAATCTACTTCCATTTACTAAATAAGAGGCTGATGACACAAGCATTTGGTCTCTTGCGGGGATGAACTAGTTTGCTCCTAAAGATGGCAAAATATCACTGGGATGGATACAAGCTGGCCCCACCAATCACTACCAAGAGGAGAGAGTGGGAGGGATTTGAAATGCCCCCCAACCATGAACCAGGAGATAAGGGACAGGTGGATTGACAGTGGTAGGGATTCAAGCTGGCCCTCCAATCATAAGCCACAAATTTAGTATTGTAACAGGGACCCAAGCTGCCCAATCATGAGTGAAAACAGAAGGGAGAGTCCAAGTGCAAACTCAACATTACCCAACCAGGAAGGAGAGCAGGAAGATGGACAGTGAAAGGGCCAGGACTTGAACTATGTAGAATTCTATAGAGTTGTGTCAGATGGACAATAGATTATAGGATCCCTGGAAAGCACAGGCTGAGAATTCTTGCCTGAAGTATAACTTTACACAGCTCTAGTCACTAACCTTGCCCCTAATCATGAGCTGGAGCAGGGGGAAGAGGGAGTAATGTGAGGCCATCCTATAGTTCAATAAACAGAAGTTTTCTTTGGCTGCCTCCTGTGGTTCTCAGACAGTGGGGTGGGTGGACATTTAAACGAGATAAAGGGAGATGTCATGGGGGCACTCTGACTGCACCAGATGCACTAGGAGGGGCTTAGTCTTCTACGGCGCCAACTGGTGTTGCAATGGGTTCCATGGCAGCTGCAGAAAGGACTTGGATTTGGGAGAAATAGCACACTGTACCTTTAACAGGCATCTCCCTCTTAATTGTGAGAGTCTGATTCAGCCAGCCTAAGGCCAGACTGGCTAGTTAGGATTGTGCCCTAAGTCAGGACGAGAAAAAGAAAGAGATTTATTTTAGTGTTAACATTTTCTGAATTTGGACCAGGGTTCTGTGACATAAATAGTGCTTTGAATGGCAATTAGTTCTCCAACATCTAATATTCCATTCTTGACTCTTGACCTAAAAAGGAGTAGGTAAATAGCTCCATGTCATTAACAAAGATAGTTAATGGATGCTCATTTGGAGATACTACTTCTCATTTTTGAGCTTATAAGAAAAACAAAAACAAAACAGCCTGGCAGCAGCCCATGCAGAAATATTTATGATCCACAGGACAAGACTTTTATTTCACTCTTGCAAGCAACCTGCTCGGGCTTAAGAGTGTGAGGGACAGTTAAATAACTCTTGACATACCGATGAGGTCATAATGAGAGAAGGTGTCACATGACCTCTGAGGTCACATGATTGCTAGAGCAACAGTGCTCTAAGTTCTTGACAGTTGGTCTTTGCCCACTTGCTGCTTTCCTGCCTCAACAGCCATTGGGAGCAGAGTGAATTAGCAAGACCTTGGCTTTTCAAAATTACTTACATTTACCTTTCATCTGGGCTTAACCGTGGAGTTTCTCAGCCACTCAGGTTCATAGTTTTTAGAGATGTACTCTGTATCAATGGACAGGATTGCTTCCTGTTTTGTCTATAGCTCTGGAAACTACATTAAGGTGTTGCCTGAGTAGTGTAGGTTTAAGGAGGTGAGGTCTGGCAGGGCAGTTGATGGGGTACTTTTGAGAGGTTGCTCTTGTTTTTTTTTAAATGGAGATAAATAGGTTTGTTAGGGGGCAGCCAGATGTAAGCTGGATTTCAATAACAGAATTCCCACACAGATGGGAAAGAGTAGCATTTGTGGAGATCCTTTTCTGGGTGCCCCCTTTCTAATGGATCACCACCTCTAGACCCACCCAACTCCCCTTTCATAGATAAACACTCAATGTTCTTCCCAGCTGTATGGCTCCCCTACAGATCCTCCCCTCCCAGTTCCACATCATGCCACATGATGACTCCTCTACCCCACATGGACAAAAGCATCCCACTATGCACTCCCCTCATCCCTTCCATGCTCCACATGCCCAACAGCCCTAACCAATCCCTCACACCATTTATAACATGCCCCCCACAACCCACCTCTCAATAGAGGGGTTAAAATCAGTTAAGTGAGTTCCTACTCCAACACTTGAGTCCATCTCTGTATTTCTGGAGCTGGTGGGCAATGTATACCTCTGCCGGCGTGGATTCATACGCTGGTTTGGAACTATTTTTCCCAGGTCTCCTGATCTGACATAGGCAGGTATAAGTACCAATTGGCGCTTCCCACAAGGCTGTGCTGGGGCTGGATGTTGGTGCAATTATAAGATCCTTCTGCCCCACAACCGTGGAGGAAAACATTGAATATTAATTTCATGAACTTTAAAATATCATGTGAATACATTGTTTTGGAAATTCATAATATTACTGTATATTCCAAAGTGTCAATAGTCAACAAGGGACCACAGCGGAATATTTTAACTACAAAAATTCTCAAATGCTTTCCAGACAGTTTACATGTCGTCTGTACATTTTCTCTTTTGCATTCTTTTTCAACAGCTCCACAGTTCATCCCAAAAGCAGTCTTGACTGCTGCTAGCAAAGTTCCATCTCCCACCCTTCCAAATGTAGGATATCCACAAGAATAATCACAGGTCTAACACTACACTGATTTCCTACTGATTCTGCCTCTTATCACACAAGAGGTGAATTACCGAGACAGGGCTCACATGATCAGCACTGCTGATTTATCAAGAAAACATCAAACTAGTGGCATTCCCATTTGGAGATAAGAAAAAAAAAAGCTCTCCTCTTTCTCTTGATCCTGAAGGATAGAGATCCAAAGGTTGGACCCTTATAAATTTTAAACAGAAGTTTCCAAGAGCTGCAGATGGAGATGGTGTTTGTAGCAATCTGTGACAGATTGTTACCACTGATCATCCAGGAAAAAGGCAAAATGAATGGAAGGAGCAATGCAGGAAGAATAATCAGTCACTGGTCTGGATACAACACAATATCATTTTTTAGACTTGTTGCATGCATGGTCAGAATGGCCACAATGACATCCAGCCTCTAATAGGAAATGGATGGAGAAGACCACTGTCTCTTCAATTGGACATGTTGGAGTAAGATGTTCCTTGCTTAAAAATTGAATTTCCTTTTTTCCTCTTTCAGTCTGCATTTGGTTAGACAGAAGGGGATGGGTGATTCAAAAGTCATATACTGGGGAATGGAAAGGAATAGTGGAGTATTGGATGGCAGAGCTCTTTGTGGTACATGGCAGGTCCTACATACAACTAAACTACATCAGGGCCTGAAGACAGAATTCTAC